CTCCGTGCCGTCCATGATGGCCTCCTGCGGGTGACAGTGGTGACAGTGACACAGTGACACCCCAGTGACACCGGGATCAGCTCCGAGTGTAGGGAGCGCGGTGACACCGCGATCTCCGTGCCGTCCATGATGGCCTCCTGCGGGTGACAATGGTGACAGTGACACAGTGACACACCCAGTGACACCGGGATCAGCTCCGAGTGTAGGGACCGAGGGGACACTGCAATCTCCGTGCCGTCCATGATGGCTTCCTGCGGGTGACAATGGTGACAGTGACACCCTGTGACACCCTGTGACACCTGTGACACCCCAGTGACACCTGTGACACCCTGTGACAGTCAGTGACACCTGTGACACCCTGTGACAGTCAGTGACACCCCAGTGACACCGGGATCAGCTCCGAGTGTAGGGAACGGGGTGACACCGCGATCTCCGTGCCGTCCATGATGGCCTCCTGCGGGTGACAATGGGTGACAATGGGTGACACTGGGTGACAGTGGGTGACAATGGGACGACAATGGGTGTCATTGGGTGTCATTGGGTGACAATGGTGACAATGAGTGGCATTGGGTGACACTGGGTGACAATCTTGAGGTGTCAGTGGGTGACATCGGTGACAATGAGTGGCATCAGGACAGGAAAGTGACATTGGGGTGACAATGGGTGACAATGGGTGACACTGGGTGTCATCTGTGACATTGAGTGGCATCGGGACAGGAAGGTGACACTGGGGTGACACTGGGTGACAATGGTGACAATGAGTGGCATCGGGACAGGAAGGTGACAATGGGTGACACTGGTGACAATCGGCTCCTAAGGTGACATTGGGGTGACAATGGGTGACATTGGGTGTCATCGGTGACAATGAGTGGCATCGGGAGAAGAAGGCGACACTGGTGACACTGGGTGACAGTCGGTGACACTGGGGTGACAATGGGTGTCATCGGTGACACTGGTGACACTGAGTGGCATCGGGACAGGAAGGTGACACTGGGTGACAGTGGGTGACACTGGGTGACAGTGGGGGACAATGGTGACATTGAGTGGCATCGGGACAGGAAGGTGACACTGGGTGACAATCGGCTCCTGAGGTGACACTGGGGTGACAATCGGTGACAATGGGTGACAGTGGGTGACACTGGGGTGACATTGGGTGTCATTGGGTGTCAATTGGCTCCTGGGGTGACACTGGGTGTCACTGGGTGACACTGGTGACATTGAGTGGCATTGGGCGACACTGGGTGACAATTTTGAGGTGTCACTGGGTGACACAGGGTGTCACTGGGTGTCAGCGGGTGACACTGGGTGACAATGGATGACAATCAGCTCCTGCGGTGTCATTGGGTGACATTGGGTGACAGTCGGTGACAATGGGTGACACTGGGGTGTCAGTGGGTGACAATGGGTGACACTGGGTGACAGTGGGTGACACTGGGTGACAATCGGTTCCTGAGGTGACACTGGGGTGACAATGGGTGACAATGGGTGTCATCAGTGACATTGAGTGGCATCAGGACAGGAAGGTGACACTGGGGTGGCAATGGGTGACAATGGGTGACACCGGGTGCCAGTCAGTTCCTGGGGTGACACTGGGGACAGTGGGTGACGCTGGGTGGCAACGGATCAATTTTTCCCCCCAAATTTCACCTTTTTCCCTCCAATTTGTGAGATTTTTTCCCCAAATTTCACCTTTTCCCCTCCAATTTCTGAGTTTTTCCCCCCCAAATTTCTGAGTTTTTCCCGCCCAAACTTCGACTCC